TTACTAGCTAGGGTCAATCTATGGGCAAAAAATGAGCAAAATCGATTTTTCGACTTGTGCCGTTGTTTGGTCCATAGTTATGGGCACTGGCTCTTAACAGCTACGATGTGTATCGACCGTGAACCGTGGACGAATCGACGGAAACGTTTAAAAATATTTTATTGTCACCCGGAGGAGGAATGAGATGAATGCCGTGTCATCTGGAAGCTAAGGTAAGCCTCCTTGTTGTATCCGTTTTTTTCTTTAAAAATTATGCCTATAAGAGCGCTTTTGAGTACTAGTAATATAGATTCTTTCGTTCGGAAACTGCTCGATTCCGAAATTAGTCACATGGCAAAGCACATGGTTTTCGAAACTCAAATGAGCTGTCGTTTGCAATTTCGTGTCATTGTTGGGTGTTGTTTTACGGAGTTGATTTCTGTCTGTTGGCGATTTCTATTATCGGAGCTATGGATGTTTTTTGTACTGAAAATGCTGATAACAAGTCTCTAGTATATTCGGGGACAAAAGCATTATCGGAGCCCTCGAGTGGCCGGGGTAATTCGCAAGGCCAGGAGAGGTGTAGCTTCGAAGAAGCTTACGTCGAGTTCCCCTCTCGCTGGGACTTAAATGCCACAATTGTGGAAAGCGAGATTGAGAGAAAACTTTCAAATACTTATCAAACAAATGCTATACAAATTTTAAATAATCTATACCAAATAACAAATGTCAAATACCAAATGCTGAACAACTGTGAAATACATGACCTATCAGATGAGGAATTGCTGAAACATGAAAATACCAAGGAGCAGAGCGAATCTGTTACGGTACCCGAGCAGTATATCGACACATGTATAAGAAAACCTGAACTCCAAAACGGAATTCTACTCCAGGTGTCAAGTAAGTTTAATTTTCAATGCAGTGGCGATCGTCAATTTTCAAATGTACTCGACAATAACAAAATTCAGCTACGAAATTCAAGAGCAGTGGTAGTCTCTCATTTACGAATGAGATGAGGAAGAGAGCCCTCTAGAATTTCTTTCAGTGTGGTGACTAGACTTTTTAAAAGGAGAAAGACAAGAAATGCGGTCAAATTATACACTAAGAATTATGTGCCTCCATCATCTATGTTGAAGGTTATGCTGTGCGAATATGCTCGTAATCACTTCTTTGAACAATGCAGAAGATCAAACTTCACAGTTTTCCCGAAGAAGTATTTTATTAGACGGAAGCTTCATTTGTTTGTTTTTCGACTGAGGACACTGAAGCATAAAAAGTCACCTTCGTCTTGTATTTATACTGAAAACAATATTTACAAAAAATTAGGGCAGCTCCGCGTTAAAACTTATCATTTATCTAGCAGAATCATATCACTTAGTGGAGATGTTGAATTAAATCCAGGGCCTTCAGAACAGACTTGTAATCCCTTGTGTAGTTCATCACGTATGAATTCTGCATCTCTATTAGAAACAAGATTGTTTTACTTAGGCAGAACTGCAGTTGATGTTGGAGGAGGTGGTGATTGCTTTTTTAGAGCTGTATCGCATTAGCCTGCGTAGCAAGCGTTTCTGTGGGGTTCGGGAACAAAGAATTACAGAGCGAAAAATGGAGCGAGTAAAAGAGGGGGGAGGGGGAGGGGAAGGAAGGAAGGAAACGCTTGCAGACAAA